GGGGGGGGGCGCAAGTGGGGGATGAGGTGTGGCAGGGTGTCGGGAGGATCTTGTCAGATGGTCGAGCGGGCCGGTCCGTCGAGAGCAGCCAATCGTGCTCGTGGGTCAGGGCATGTGGATACATACGCCCTCACCCAGCCGCAGCCGCAAGAAAGTCAGGTGCAAGGTCGCACGCCGCCATTGGCTGGCCGCCATCGGCAGCAGGCCTGAAAGGCAGGCGTCTTGAGCATCGTGCGTTGAGGTAACGGCCCACGCGCCGCACGCCGACGGCCCGCGACGCACCCAGGGCGGCGGTTTCCTTGGGCGATGCAAAGCTGTCCTCATCAGCAGGACGGCAAGGGCCGGGGTTGGGGCGGGTCTTGACCGACTGGCACCGGGCCAGGCAGGCGGAGGCGTAGGTGATGCCGTCGACGCCGCAGACAGAGGGGCCGGCAAAGTCTTCGGGCGTCAGCGCGTTGCAGTCGCAGGAGGCTGCGGCTGTGGGGGTTTGGGGGTGGGCGCGGGGCGCGGTACAAGGCTTGAGCTCATTCGTGGGGCTGCGGGCTGGTACGGGGGTGGGTCCCAGCCAGCCGCGAGGGCGCAGCGCGTACGCTAGCCGTAAATCACAGCAGTTCACGATGTGATTGAGAAGGGGCCTTTGAGAAGGGGTGTGGACCTCGGCATGCGCTTGGAGGCCTAGGCCGGACCGCAGCAGTGACCGTCCCGCCGAGCCACCTGCGCCGGCGGCTCCTATGGCGACAGTGCAGCACAGCACCAGGAAAGTAGAAACCCGCGGCCGGTGACTGCAAGCAAGTGCCATGTTGGCGGAAATCCAAGCGCCTGTGAGTGGCAGATGTGGTGAGAGGGAACGGTCGGGGCAGGGGTCAGTGGCTGGCCAGGGTGTCCCACTGCCATCCCTGCTGCAAGCAAGGCGCACGGCGGTGCTGGAGGGGTAATGCTGTATTCTGCTCGAGTGATTGGGGGGTAACTATGATTAAGTTCGGAGTGGACGGCCACCTTGATTGATGGTTCGTGGGTGTCGGTCGACCACGTCGGGTCTCGCTACCAGCTGATGGAATTGATGCCGGGAGTAGCCTCAAGTATTATTATGCGAGATTTATATTGGAAGGAATCGTGGAGCCCGTTGGTCTTCACCGCGGCCTGGGCTTGCCATCTGCCCAGGGGCCAGCGGACCAGTGCATAGCTGCCTCGCAGCAGCATCACCGGTGCGGGACCATCAGCCAAGTGGCTGGTGGATGGTCCTGGATGCAGTGCCCCTGCAAGCATAACCCTGGATAATCATCTCAGCATCTCTTTTCATTGCACAGGGCAATTCGTCACAAGCAAGCAGCCCTGGGCCTAGCGGTGTCTGGCAAACAAGCGCGCAGATGAAGCCAAGCGCTTGACGGCCAGCAGGCAGGTCCCGGCGTTGTTGCCCGCACACGCTTGCCTGCGAGCGTTCCTTTAGGGAGAGGCCCATCCTCTACTCTGGCTGAGACCCTGAAGCCTGCAGACCTGCATAATTGCGCGGGGTGTCGCGCCACAACTCGCAGAGCAAGGCTGAGCTTGCAGCATGGTCGCGCGGTACACGCAGGTGGTGCGGTGGAAGTCGTGCAGTCCACACTTGGCAGCAAGAAAGGCCCGAACTCTGCATCAGCACACTGTAGAAGATCAAGAGGTTTGAAACAAGACTCAGGGCCACCATGAGGTGAGCGCGCCCATGCCGACACTCAATTCGTGCAAGACTTTGTTTCATGTTGGGAACAGCAGCAGCATGTGGCCTCATGCATCCAGGCCGGGGCGTGGCCTGCGGCCATGGGGCACACCGTTGGCGCGATGGCACGTGCGGACGCAAGAGGCGCGCCCGCAAGCAAGATGACACCGAGTTGGGGCGCCTGTAAAGGGGGAAAACCATGCCCAGCAGACCCTGACGATGCATATGTATTCTGTCCTGGCTCCTTCTTTCATTTTTAAGATCGCCGTGAGGGAGGGGAGCCAGGCATCCGCATGGCCCCCAGTCAGGTGCGCCGCCCAGGACGAGCATTACTTCGGCTGCAGCCGCGAGGCAGTGAAGCCCCTTGCTGCTAACGAGGTGCGCACAGCAACACGCTGCTGATCATGAATCGCCACGGAAGCTTGTCTCCCGTTCACCCCTGCCCTCAGCAAGGCGGGCGCTCCAAGGCGAGATGGCGTCTGCCAAGAGCTGTGCAACCACCACAACAAACACCGGAAGGGCTTGTGCTTTGGTCGAGCCATCCGCTTCAGCCCTAAGGCTGTCTTCTGTGAATGACTTCTACAACAGAAGACCTGTTACGGACGGCGGCGTTCCTCGATAGAATTCAGCCGGCTGCACTTCTCAACCCCCACAGCACGCACAGCGCCCACACCCACTGCAGTGAAGGGCCGCATGCGCAGTCACCGACGCAAAAGATTTCATCAATCACGCCTATCTTCGCACCATCCTCACGTTTTTATCACGGCGTCAGGCGCGAAATTGTAATCAGATCTGACGCCTGTTGTCCTGCTATCCTGTCATTTGCGCTTAAGCCATATAGCATCACATACTGCACTGCTGTGCACTGCGCCACAACGCGTTCACGGCGGCGACACGCGGAGGTGCAGCACTGCTGCCGTTCATGCCGCAGCTGCATCCCCGCATTCTTACAACACGTCAGGTGCAGCACTTGTCTGTAAGCAGGGACCATCAAGAGGAGCGCAAAGCATGGATGATTACGACATAGAGGAAGACGAGGATGTGCAATTTGAGGACGAGTGGGAGGTCATTGCGCCGGCGCAGCCTCGCTCCCCTGTGGACGAACATGACGGCGGCGGCAGCGAGGAGGCACGGTCTTTGCGGGACGGGCTCGGCGGTGCGGGGCCGCCTGGCATCCCGACGCTTGGCGGCGACGGCGGCGCCAGCAGCATCACGATCACCCTGGAAGGTGGGGCGCTGCGCAATCGAGCGGGCAGCGCCGCGGCCCTCCTCCGCCTCTGCCGCTGCTTGTCCCTCGGCTCAACCAGGTGCAAAGTGTTGAGTTGCGCCGAGCGCCCTCGAGGCAGCAGCCCTGATTTTGTGGGTCCGCAGTGTCGAAGACAGGTCCTAGCGAAGGAAAGCACACAACCATCTGGCGACCATGCCCTTGGCCCCACTGCAGACGGCGACGTCGGCGGCGCCGGCGGCAAGCGCGCAACGCGGACGTTCACCCGCGAGCAGCGGGAGGCGGCGGCGCTCGCGCACCGCACACACGCGCTGTGCCTGCTGGCGCGCTGCGTCGCGCACGACGTGGCGGCCAGCCGGGCTGACATACAGGTGCGGAGCCGGGGCAGAGCCAGGGGCCCTTTTATCTGCAACCCAGCTGCCGCGCACTGCTATCTCAAACGCACCTCTACTACCTTGCAATACGACGAGCGCGCATGACTCTGGCGGCAGCACGCTGAACAGTAACGCTCTCTTTTCAACCTGTCAAAGTCACGCCATGCCACAGACTCCAGCATGCGACGTATCCACTCACGCCTGCCCGCCCCTCCTGCCGTTTTGGCCCCGCCCCAGGCCGTGGCCCTGTCGCTCCTCAGCCCGGCACTCGCCGACGCAGCAATTGCTGGCGCCGCCCGCGAGGGCGCGCCGTCCGACCTGTCTTGGGCAGCGGGCCTGGTCAAATGGATGCGGTCAAACTTTCAGTTGACTGATGCAGCCGCGTGCGGCGGCGGCGGCGGCGGCGGCAGCGGGAACGAGGGCTGGAGCGGCGCCGACGCGGCTTCCACTTTTGCCGCCGCGCTCGGCAGCGGCGGCCGGCGCGGCGGCGCGGCCGCGGCCGCGGCGTCCGAGGCGCGGCGCCGGCTGCGGGAGATGCTGCGGGGCTCGGGCAGCACAGAAGAGCAGCTGGAGGGGTGCCTGCGGGGGCGGCGCGGGACGGCAGAGCAGCTCAACGCGCTGCTGGTCGCGCTGCTGCGGGGGCTGGGGCTGCTCGTGAGGACCGCATGGTGGGCCGGCCTGGGGGCCTCTGCTTGGCCGCAGTTGCTGCTGGGGGCATGCGCGTGCGTGGGTTGTGCGTCCGCAGCCGCGCGGCACCAGAGGTGTTTCGGGGGTGCATCGTCAGCAGCCACGATCTGCGGCAGGACATGACTAGGCCGCCGCGGCAGCTCGCTGACGGGGCACGACGCCGTGCGTCCGCCGTGGCGGCAGGCGGGTCGACGCCTCATTGACAGTCCGCTCATCCGCGCGCAGGGCGATCGACGCGGTGCCGTTCCGGCCGGCGCAGGCGGAGGCGTATATCCTCAGGCAGCTGTCCGCGCCCCGCTTAGAAACTGGCGGCGCCGGCCCCTGCGCGAACGGCGGCGAGGGGCGCGCCGCGCCGAGCGGCGCGAAGCGGCGGCGCAGCGGGTCGCTGGAGCCGGGGCGGCAGGGGCGGCTGGGGGCCGGGGGCGACGGGGGTGATGAGGAGCCTAACGCCGGCGGCGGCCGCGGCGGCCGCGGCG